ACAGTCTTGGTAGATTTGCAGGACATTTGCAAGACAGGGCGGTCACTGGTGCCAGAGGCTCTTCGGTGCCTTTGCAGCTCAGTGGGAGTAGCAGAAGTGGGAAAGAAGGACAGGAACCCACCCATGTCCCCTCCACCAGAAAAAGAATGAATACTAGGGCAAAGAAAAGAACAGACCCACAGCAGTGGTATTAGAAATGTAGACAGGCTCTTCTGCTATCTTTTATATTAAAGACACAAAAAAGAGAAACAAAACCATCCACATACAACAGATTGGTTAACAAGAGAATTTTTTAAAAAACTGAATCAAAAACCATGTTATTTTAAAAGTAGAAATGATTAAGTTATTATTATTGGCTGCTGGCTAATGCCAACCTTAAGAAAAGTTAAAGCAGACAGGAACGCAAATATATTAAAGCAACACTTAGGCAAATCATGGCTAACAGGTGTATTCTTTAAAAATAAATAAGAGTCCTACAGCATCTTTAAATTAGCAAAACAGAAAAAATGACAAGGCTTAGCAAAATGCATAATAGCTATGTTTAGATTGATTTTTTTCTTTCAATTTTAAAAATCAGCAACCATAAAACAAGTTCCCAAGATACTTGTTGACAGTACTTTTTTTTCCCCAAGGAAACCTTCAAAAAGAGAAAGATTACTTATCGTGCAAGCATTGTCCCTCCTCCCTTCCCAAAGCTACCCTTTAAAAATTATATCGAACAGCAGTCAGAACCAAGGAAAGAGAGGGCAGAGGGCTTTTTCAAGGGCTGCGTGGGCTTCCTGGGAGATGACTGATCCAGAACAAAGCCTCTCAGGGGGATGGCCATTGAAAGAACACCATGAGAAGGCTTCCTGGACCCATGTCTTCTGAGTCCATTTCTTCCTGTTAAGCTATCAGGACGTGGTCCAGCCCCAAGAGGGGGGTCAAGAAGTAAAGGTCTTCAATCAAGACGTATCTCCCAAAACACCAGGCTAGTTAGACATCCTCTTGTTGGAAGGGACCTACCCTGGTGCTAAAGTTTCAAATATTCCCACTTTCAATAACCTAAAATACTAAATTAATTTTGGAAATTCACCTTGGCTCCTAAGGAACAAAGTGACTGAGCTTCTAAATTTGGAGAGAAAACAATCCCATTGGTAAAGGAGTGCAAAAATGGTGGGGAGCTCTCTACTGGTGTGTAGGCATAACTCGATGAGCAGAGACTGGCCCTTTTACAGGGTAATTTTCAACCCTATATGGTCATTCATCACTACGAATCATGAAAAATTAGAGAAGGCATAGCGTAGGCTGGGAACCAAAGGCTTCAGGCATTTTTGGCTATGGGATCTCAGACAAACCATTTTATTACTCTAGGCCTCGGTTTCCCCAAATTGTTAAGACTAAACTAGCTGGTCTCTAAAGTCCCTTCCAATCCCATTATGAATCTAGTGCCTTGATTTAGGCAACTGGCATGTTTACCTTATAATACACGAGGCTAGATGAGCCTTTTGAGGTCATTTAAACACAAATTCCTCATGTGACGGATGATGGAAGTCAGGCCTGGAAAAGTTAAGCATCTAAGATCACATAAGTGATAAATAATAATAAGTGATAAAACTGGGACTCCAAATCAAGTGTTTCTAGTGCTACCCACCCCTCTCCCTTCTCCTCCTCCCCCACTGTTGCCTCTTTATAGCTGAATTGCTGAATCAAAACCACATTTTAAGCTCACCCAAATATGGCTACTTACAAGCCCACAATGCCATGCTTCATGAACTGAAAATCTAGGGTGTAAAGGAAATTGTACTTATGAAGTGTGGGCAGATATCAAACACTGAAGCATTTAAGAGAAAAGGGATTGGTCAGTAATACGGTCTTGACGTCCTGCTCGAACACAAGTACCCAAGAACTACAGCCAGCTTCAACTTTGACAGGGTCAGAGCCGACTAGGCCTTTTTTCCCTCTATCCCAAGGAGCTTCCAAGGAGCGACGGCTACCAAACACCCATTTCCCACTGACTGAGGTTAAGTGCCCCTCTGTTTCCTCTTCAGAGGTCCAGAGGCAGCTTCAGCTTGGCATACGGATGCTGGTGTTGGCCAAATCTGGCTATTAATTTGCTTCAGAGAAATGCCCTTGCTCCACACCTCCCTTGGGACTTGGTCTAGAGTGCCCCCTGGCTCATGAAGACCCTTTATGCTCACAGTGACTGGTCTCTACGTTGATGTGTCAATGTTCATCAGTACGTAACGTACGGGAGTTGAGGGGGTGGTGGCAATGCTGCCAGCAAGCACATGTGTTGTGCTCACCCACACATCCTGCTAGGACCTTCCAGGATGGATCCATTCACTGCATTGATGGTAAATCCAGGAGAGAGGGAACCTCCGGGATCACACCTAAGCCTCTCTTCACTCACCATCAGGACATGGGAATTGTCAACAAAATCACGTAATGTGGCAGGAGTTTTTCAACCCAGAGGCTAACGGGTCAATTTTTAATTTTCAGTTTGAAAGCCCCATGTCTTGGAAATAACCAGTTTTTACTTCGCAGATCAGCGAACTGAGGCCCAAAGAAAAGTGTCTTGCCTGAGGTAATAGAATTAAACTCATCTTCAGACAGCTCATCCTGTGCAGGATCCGCATCCAGGACAGTTTGGATTTTGGCCTAATGCCCATTTTCCTGCCTCTGGGTCTTCATAATGCCCTTTCAAACCACCCCTGAATGTCAATAGCCTGCTTCGAGGTCAGGCTCTAAGGTCACTTTTCTAGGAAAGCACTCCTGCCCCTCTCTTTCCCACAAACCTCCAAACGGCAGCCCAAAATGTGATCTATATCTTCTGTCTTTCCTTGTACCTTGCTTTCTCCCTGAGGTGCGAATCTTTCTCAATTCCTTTAATGGCCAGCCAGAAAAATCAGAAGAGAAAGATGGCTAGATAAATGATAAACGATAGACATGATGAATAACAGATATAAATGGATGGATGATACACAAAGTGCTAGGTAAATGACAGCAACAGATGCTATAGAGAGATGACATACATTGATGACAGATACATGATATAGAGGATACAGACAGAAAGAAAGCACTTTGAGGTTTGTAAAATAAGACTTTTCATTAATCCATCTGATCCTAACAATTCTGTACTATGGGTTTTATTATCCCCATTTTGCAGATGGGGAAGCTAAGGCTGACAGAGGTTATAAAAGCTGCCCAAGGTCACAAGAATGAGGTGAGATTTGAATTCGTGGTTCCTGATTCCAAGTCTGCCTTTACCCATTATACTGCAGTAACTCTATTAGTCACAGGCTAATGCCTCTCTGAGTGGAATGTGAAATAAAATGAAGCTTCTGTCTTGGGACTTCACCTCTAACTTGTTGGAAATTTTGTTTATAGTGTCTGCACCTATTTGTTTACAGTGTCTGGGGGCCGTGAATTGGTTCTACCCAACCAGGCAATACATGTTTCTGAGTAGGTGTTACCTGTGGCCTGGAAGCAGCCTCTTTGCAATAATATTAGCCACAGGGTTGCCACCCACTCTGCTGTGTACCCACTTAATCCTCTGGATTGCCCAACTAAGAATAAGACATATCAAGGCAGATTTGCTCCATCTCACTTGCATGTGTCTCAAAGCCCACATCAGGGCAATGTTCAAGATCGTCTGTTAGCCATCTGCCACTTCAGGCCCTTGGTGGGCTCTCCACCACGTGGCTGTCTGGGGCACTTCCCCCCACCCCTGCTTCCCAGCCACAACTGGCCAACAGTTGCTACCACTGACAAATTTAGCTGGATTCAGACCCAATACAACTTGCCTGGGATGTTCTCTAAAGGTCAGTTCTTTGTACTATTGAGGCTGCTGGTGACACAAAGATCTATGCCTACCCTTTTCATCTAAAGCGCTCTGAAATGGCCAGAGTTCCAGAGCAAGGTGATAAGTGCCAGGCTGCACTTCCTCAGCACCAGAGCCCTCATCTATTTACAGAATATCATGAAAGAAGGGCAATTTAACTATAAAAGGTCAGTTTTCTCATTCTGTGAGTTCCCAACAGGATTCACCCTTCAAGTAGCCTGCATACAGGTTTCAGGGAAGGGTTAACAAGATTTGCTCATATGGAGGAGACGCTGTGAGGTTGGGGAAATGTATGACACATTTCCTAGGTATAACAATCAAGATGAATATGGTCATGAGTGAGGGGACAATTGTACTTCCACATTAAGGTGGGCTGTGAAGAGTCTTTTTTCACTTCAAAGCAGCAGAAAGACTGGAAACAGATGTCCAACAGGTATGGATAAATAGCCACCACTGGTTTAGGATGGCTTGGGCTGTCAGACAAGCTGGCGGCCTTCCCTGAGAAGGAAGTTGGGCAGAAGGCTCTGGACTAAGTGGGCACTATCAAAACCTACTCCTTTCAGCCCTTTCCTGAAATAAAGCAGACCTTCCTAGCCTTGGCTCTGCAGGGAGTGCCCTTCAGCCCTGACTAAACTGGCCTGAAAAAGCTAGAGTCAACCATCTCGCCTGTGTCCAACCCAGCACGGGTGCACAGTTTCCTGTCCTGTACACCACTGTTCCAGGCTAAGGCTCAGGGACAGCTGCACTCTTGCATCTGTTCTGACCGTCGGAGGGAGGCACCTGGGTCCTCCTTGCCTTCAGCCGGCACACACGTGAACTTGTATGTGTGACTGTACAGGACCAGGCTCCAGGAATGGCCTGAGGCCTTGAGGAGAGAAGGGTGGGAGTGACAAACAAACAATAACGAAATGAGAGCTGCTGAGCCTGACCCGAACAGCCCCTAGAGCCCTAAGCCTCTCCGGACCTCAAACCCAGGGGCCTGGGAGCTCCTTCCCTATCTCTGGCACATTCAAAGATCAGTAAACTAGGCAAGGAGCTCTCTGTGTGGGGGTTAAACTCACTGAAATCTCCACAACGGGGGGCTGCTTAATCATTTAGTTTTGTTCTTTGGAAAGGGAAACCAGCCAGTGAGTAGAAACTACCTCCAGTCCCTAAGGTAAAAATAAAAATCCAGAGGTTCAGTTTGAACTAGCTCCATTTATGACAACTTAAAAAACCACAAACCAACAACCCAACATCATTGTGCGGTAACACAAAATGAGGAGCGGAAGCAGACCCTCCGTGGGCATCAGTGCAGGCCCCCATTTCAAATCAACATTGTATCAAGTCTCAGTAGTTCTGTCCACTTGTGCCCTGGAGTGTCTGGTCTTCGGAAGACCCCCTTCTCCAAAGTTGCGAGACCACTGGAGAAAGGTCGACAAAGGAGTGCTGCTTGAACTGGAGTCAATGTGTCATGCCATCCAGAGGTACGTGGGTACAGTTGGCAGCATTGAAAAAATAATATTCTCACTCGTAAAAAGAAATCGTATCGCCGGCATTTACTAGACTGAACCTTAAGTTAAAAATAAAATAAAATGAAGGAAAACAAAAAAACTCCCCAAAAATAACATCTAGCTTTCAGTCACCAATCCAAAGTCTTAATGCCTAATTCAGCAACTTGTTCCCTGCCCCGTCTGGGGGTCCTGAGGAGGTATCCAGGAGAGATTCATTTGTACCGCGGGTCTGTCTTTCAAAGCTGCCGGGCTCAAGCAGAGGAAGAGAGAAGGCCGGCATGGCAACTCTGGCCAGGCCGTCGGGAGGATGGGATGAGGGCGTGGACGTCGCCGGGCTCACTCGTTTGTCTTTCTGAAGGAATGGGTGGGTGTGTTCTTTCCAAGTGACCTCTGTGTGTTCCCTCTTAAAGGGTTACTGTACTCAGGACTCCTGCGGAACCACCTCCATGAGCTTCTGGCACAGGACTGTCGTGCAAACTGTTTGGGAAGAAAAGGAAACCAGGTGATGTGGACGGGCATGGGTGGGAGCAGCCTGCCTGCCCGTCAGTCGGACAAGAACACTCGCCCTTAAAGGAGGTCAGCCCGATCAGCCCACAGAGTGAACATCTGTGCCTGCACAGCGCAGAGTGCCCATCTGACGGCTTTAATACCAACGAGCCACCGCCCTGTGATGGAGAGGGAAGGGGAGACGGGGGGCAGACAAGCGGCGCCCGCCACATGCCCGCTACGGTGCCAAGCACTTGTTATGAATGTTATGCCCTTTGATCCGCACAAAGATCCTGCAAGGCCAAAGCTCTTATTCTCCCCATTTTGCAGCTAAGGAAACTAAGGCAGGCAGCAGTTGAGCGACTTGCCCAGGGTCACACAGCTGGATTTGAACTCGGGTCTCCTCGAGCACAGGCCCAACCCGTAACTAGAGGAAGGGTCTGCGCCGCGCACCGTGGCCGGGTCCCGACACTCACAGATGCCTTGAAGCAGCCACTTGGGTTTGTTCTGCCACCAAACGCCGATGAAATAAATCGGAATTCCCGTGAGGATGATGACAAAGCCGATTGCGCACTCCACCGGAGTTTTCCAAAAAGAGACAGCTATCAGGAACAGGCAGGCCAGTATGAAAAAGACAGGCAAGACGAGGTTCACCTGGGGGCGAGAGCGGACACCGTAAGCGGCCAGGAGAGCTGAGAGAAGAGCACACGTCATTCGGAGCCTGGCGTTCCCTCACCACTTTCCACTGCTTCTATCCCGTGCCCGCCGGGCCCTGAGCTTCCCGACATCTCAGAGGGACCCGCACGGCAACTTTCACAAGTTAATATACACCCCCGCATGCACACTTTTAAATTAAGTGTCTGCTACACGCCTGGCACCATGCTAAGCATGAGTATTTAGTATCTCATCTGATCCTAACAACCCTGGGAAGTAGGTGCTATTTTGATCCCCATTTTACAGATGGCGAAACTGAGAAGACAGCAGTGAAGTGACCTGCCCAGGGTCACCCAGCTAGTGAATGTCGGAGGCCAGATTTGAACTCAGGTCTTCCTGACTCCAGGTCCAGGGTCCTACCCACTGAGCCACCTGGCTGCCCCACTTGTTGGCAGGAAGTAGATGAGCAAAAAATGAGCTCCTGAATGAGCAATCAGCAAATTAAGCCCACTACTACTCCCTCCGAGCAAAAAAGCTCAGCTTTCACAGAAAATGTGCAGACCTAGCAGGATGTGACCTAGAAGTTGTTTTCTCAGGTTCTAACTTGCTGATGTCCCCAGAGTCTGCTGAGGAGGAGGCGCTATGGGAGCTGAGGAAGCTCCTCAGAAAAGTTTTCTCTTAGGCTGTAAAACAGCACCTTAGGAAGGCACCTCCAACTCCATGTTCACGGATCTGCATCCTACAGAACAGGGAGACTTCAGAGTCTCAAACACGGGACAGAGTTAAGAGTTGGGAAGGTTAGGCTCTGCTTGGCCACTAACCATGCTTAGGCAACCGCAGGCCCTCCCCCACTGGGTACAATACAGGTTAACGCCTGTGGCTTTCTGTCAAGTCCCTCCAGATGATCTGAGAAGGACACTCCTGTTGAGGTCCAGCGTGGCCTAGGGAGGAGGGGCTCACTCCCCACCCCACTTCCAGGCCTTGAGATTCTCTGACCCCAGTCATCTGCACAGCCAAAGGTGCTCCTGCAGGATTTTCATGCCTCTTGGGGCTCCGTAAATGATTCACCCAGTGGACCATCTGCCCTCCCCGTGGGCAATCAAAGCCATCCAAAGGGTCACAGAGCCTCCCTCTCCGATGCTCACGGCCTCATCTCCACCATCCATCGGCTGGAGGGCAGGTCTAGGGCAGTGTGAGGGGAGGCCCTACAGACTCGGTTCTGTGACCAGTCCCAGTGCTTACTAAGAATTCATTTGGATTATCCCATCATAAGCTAGAAACATGGGATTCTGTGATGTCTTCAAGACTTCTCAGGAAAAACCTCTTCCTGGGTATTCTAGGAGGCCAGAAGTAACAAAGGACCAAAGGGAGGGAAGCAGGGTGGGGGTGGGTGGTGGGAAGGTGTCAGCCTGCCACTTTGGAGGCCAGAAGGGGACCGTAGTGAGGACTCGGGTGGGGAGGGGGTGTCCCCAAAGGTCTTCAGGCTTATCCCCAGCAGGTGGAGCCAGAATCCAAACAAGCCCATATTTGCTTCCAGTGTAGATGGAACGGATTTCCAAGCACACAGGCAATGTTTGTGGAACTTGCATATCTAATTTAAACAAACAGGAACAGAGACCTGGGATGTACCCAACATTTGCCAGGACGTTGCAGAACACAAAATTCTAGCTCCTTCAGTGAACAGACAAGCACTACGCCAGGCCTGCCTGTCACCCTAGTTGTGCTGGGGCCGTGAGGAGGTCGCACAAGATGAGCTTGTATGAGGGGGCCCAGGCTCACCTCATTTGGCTTTGTCTTCCTCTGCACTGTGCCCCAGCAGAGCCTGTAGAATTCAGCTAGACAGGCAGATGTTTCTCAGCCAACCCTCAGCCAACATTTTCTCTTCCCTGGCCTGAGTGTCGTGATCTCAGTAAGGAGCAGACGGACACCAGGCTAGGAGTCCTACCTAGGAAGGGCATTCCCTTACAGGTTTTTTTGTAGGCTTTCCCTTCTCCCTCTGAATTCTGCGAGTCAGCTCCACCAGCAGGACAGTGTATTTACCACAATGGTGAGAAGATCTGGGGCCAAAACCAGTGGTTGGAATGATCTGGTAATAACCTGGCCAAACCTTGATAAGGGTGGAATGGAAACGATTTGATCTTTTCTAGAGGAGCCAGGGCAAGTGTCTCTGAAGATGCCAGTTTAGCTGTGCCCTTAAAAGGCAGACAGTGAGCACCACCTTTGACGTTAGCTGGGCATCTCCCCAAAGACACAGCACAGCCTCTGGGGCCTGGCCAGCAGATTAGACTTTTCTCCTTGGAATTCTGGTTTACAGGTCTCTTCTTTAGCTAGTATTTTCAAATCCAATGGCAAAACAGAAAGAGAACTGAGGGATGGATCGGAGGGAGAGAAGGCCTCTCTCCTTTCTAAGGCTTCTGAAGGGGCCAAGGACAGGATGGCCAAAGATAATTAGTCTCCATGCTCCACTCTCTAAAAACAGGCCTCCACCTTGACTTGGAGGGAATACACACAAAGACAAGGGGTCTGTCTATGTGACCTGTTGCCCAAGGAAACTCCTAACTTCTTTGCTAAGCCTGCCAACAAGGCAGGAGCTGCTTATGAATGCCCACTGTGAGGTGGGCACCTGCCAATCAGGAACTGGATGGGCACCAGGAACTAGCTTCAAAGTGCCCAGAGAAGAGCTGCTTACTGCCTGCTTCATTCCGAGGGCTCCAGGTATTGTGTTAACCTCACTGTGTGGCCTGGCCTTTTGCGTAACCCCAGGCAAGTATAACCAGGGAAACAAATTCATGGGAAGCAAAAGTCATTCCCTGAGGAACCAGAAGCCTGAGTTAGTCCCGGCGCTGCTGCCCTGTGGGGACACAGCGGGGACGGGCCCCCTCGGCTTTCACCTTGCTAGGAGGACATTCAGGGAAGACTTGCTGAACAATCTGCAGAAAATCCAGAAGCCCCGAGTTGGAAGCACACACATCCAGGACCTTCCCAAACAGAAAGTAAACCTCTCTGAGCAAGGGAGGAAGATTCCCAAGAAATATAATTGCATCTCTCACCTTTATGGGTCTGTTCAATTCTGGCTTCTTAAAACGGAGCCACATCATCCCGATGATGGCCAGGGCCACACAAAGCCAGTTGAAGAAACTGAAGAAATTGATGACGGAGAAGATGTCATTGGAGAAAGCGTAGAGCAGGGTCATGGCGCACTACAAGGCACAGACAGAAGCTCGGTGAGCCTGCAGGCTCAGGTGCATGGTGATCACCATTTACCACTCTCATTGTCAGTTAGACTGACACCAGTCTGAAGAGCCTGAGCTTCATTATTAAGATGTATTATTTTTAAGGACAAACAAAACACATTAGGAATAAGGTGTGTGTGTGCGCGCGTGCACGCACATATGTGTACATGCACACATGCGTACAAATCCTTTGTCAATGAAAAGGGAGAGTAGCTTATCCTAGAGAACTGGTAAAACTAATGCTATTTTGGTCGTCCAGCAAGGGGTACAGAGTACCACTGGAGAGGGAAAAATGCTGTCTAAAGAAACTTTCAAAGATTTCCTATTTTCATCTGGCTTCCTTGGGTTCAAATCTCAGCTAAAATCCCAGCTTGTGCAAGAAGCCTTTCCCGATTCTCAGCTCCCCAGCCCCTACCAGGGCCTCCCTCCCTCTGCTGATTCTCTCCAGTTCATGCCGCCTCTATCTCATCTGTGTCTTGCCCATTAGAGGGAGGAGTCCCTTGAGAGCAGGGATGGCCTTTCTACATATACCCAGAGCTCACTGTGGTGCCAGGAACCTAGAGGGAGCCTCATCAGCACTCAGTGACTGATTCTCATCTCAAATAATGTCCTCTTCACGAGGAGCAGCGACACAGGAGATACATGAAGTCAGAAGACCTGGGATCAAATCTTGCTTTGGGCCCAGGCTACACTAGCAGAGTCATTATCAACTGCTGAGCCCAGGTTTCCTCATCTGTAAAACTGAGATAACAAGGGCACTTGCGTGGATCAATTGAGATTATTCTCATAAAGCCCCTGTAAAGCCCCTAACACTGTCCAAATGGGAGCCATTAGCCAGGGGATGGGGGGTCCCCAGGGGAGGAAGAGGAGGACACAGGCTGGCTTTGGGGTAACTTCTTCATGATGGAAACGACACTGGATTTGAGTCAGAGCCATGGGCTTCTGTCCCAGCTCCTCAATGCCACCATGATGTATCTCTAGAGAAGTCACTTTCTCCCTAGGGGGCTGTACTATTTCAGGTATGTCCCCTGGCTGTGCCCCATGCCTGGCATGCCCTCCCTCTGGGCTAAGACCCCACCTTCTACAAGAAGCCTTCATTGCAGTGCCTTCCCTCTGAGATTCCCTCCAATTGATCCTGTCTGTATTTTGTCTGTGCATGGCTGTTTGCATGGTGTTTCCCTGTTAGACTGGGAGCTCCTTGAGGGTGGGGGCTCTTTTCTGTCTTACTTTGTAATATCAGCACTTAGCACAGGGCCCAGCACTTAATAAATTCTCGTGAATTTGGTGTGACTAAATGATATCCCAGATCTTTTCCGATGCTAGCATCCTATCATTTCTATGTGCCTATCAGAGCAGAAAGCCTGTATCTGAAGTCCCAAGCTCCAAGCTCAAAGCTGGGCTCTGCTTCTTGACCATGGGCAAATCACTCCCTCTCCTGGGGTGGCCTCTGACCGCTCGTTTATTTAAAATAAAGGTTTGGGCCTGGATCAGGAGTCCCCAAACTGGGGAATGTGCACACTCAGGGGATACAGAGAGAGAACAGGAGTGTTTGGCAAACAGGTATACTGTTGCTGAAATTAACTAATCCATCTATTTCCTTTCTCATGGACTGGGGTATGGGAAGGGACACAGGGGATAGGCTAAGGTCCCTCCCAGCTCAGAAGGTGCAGGCAGGTCACTGTGACTCTGCAGCTACCCTTCCTCCACCCCAGGGTGGCAGAAGTAGGGACTGGGGAGGGCTTACCGTGAATACGAGTGATGGCACAGGAGTGAGGTTCTTGGGGTGGATCATGGAAAGGATAGAAGGCAAGTGGCCCTCCCTGGAGCCTACAAAAAACAACCTGCGGGAAAGAGGAGAGGCAGGCATTTTTTCCTGTTCTAGTAAGACCCCTCCCAAGAACGTGACCAATCCCCTTCCCGGGGTTTGTAGATATTCGCGCCACTTGAGGCACCAGACAGAGTTGAGAGAGAGTGAAAAGCAGCCGGAAGCTACAGTGAAGGAAAGAGGCAGATGGAAACCCAGCCACGCACAGCCCCTTCACTGCCTGGTGCCCACCTCCCTCCCCAGGGCCTCAGTCCAGAGCAGCTACTGGTCCTGACCAGCCCTCATCCTCCTACGCCAGCCCCCAGTATGGCCACTGCCTGTGCCCTGACAATGCCTGGCCTCTCTTTCCCAGGAATGTCATCCCCGGAGGTGTCGACTGACTTTGTGGAAGTGGGAAACCTTTAGGACAGGCCAGAGGACTACCTGGAGGAGGTGAAAAGTGAGCCATTGACTGATCCAAAGCATGACAAGCCCACGAAGACAGGGATGATCCAGGACATGACGCCCAGGTGATAGTTTCCAAAGTCCTACAAACACAGAACTCGCAATTAGGAAGTTACTTCCCATGAAGGAAATGAGGAAATCACTTGTGACTCATTATTTACTGGCATATAATCAAAGTCCTCAAGCAAGAGCTTTCAAATCTCTTTTAGCCCTAAGTCCAAAATCACAGTCCTATAGAGGGAGGTCACTAGCATGCATGAAAACTAGGTAAGAGCCAGTCATTTTACACAAGCTACTCGGCAGGCCCCTCAGTGTTGGGCTCTAACTGGGAACTCACTGGGAAGGCACCACCAGTATGGCTCCTCGGCCTCCTCCTTGTGAGGCCAATGGTAATACGAGAGCAGCCAGGCGCACTGTGATCCCACTAAAGAGACCTCTGAGCTCCTAAGCAGCAGGAGGACGTGTTCAAACCTGCTTACGAGGTAAGGGTCACAAATGAAGGCAGGATAAGACCTTGGAAGGGGGGCCAAGTCCAGGGGAATTTATCTTCCCTTCCAGATGCTGCTTGGGTCAGCAGAGAGGAAGAGGAGGAGGACGACATCATCACAGCAACTCTGAAGATGGAAAGCTAGACGAGCACAAAGTGACTACCCTCCCCAGGGCTCTCTATCCACAAAGGGTTAACTGCTCAACTGTCTCCAAGAACAGTGGAGGGCACTGGAGATCCAGAGGAAACCACTTTTACTACATTTACCAGACACCTCTGTTGCTAGGCCACTGATCTCCAAAGATAATGCTTCTTAAGAAAAGCCAATTTAATCCTGCGCCAGCTGCCCAATCCACCTGAGGACACTGTCCATCAGAACTGGGAAAAGGAACAAGGAACGTACCACGGCCACAGCTTCTGAACTCAGCATCTGCTCGGTGGACAAGGTGGTGAAGTAAGCCAGGTTTGTTAGGACGTACACTAAGGTGACCAGAGGAAGCGAAATGATGATGGCCAGGGGCAAATTTCTGAAAGAAGAACAGTCTGGTGAGCGGCGGGAGTTTGGCAGCCCCAAAGGGCATCTGCCTCTTGGCAGGTCAGCTACACCACAAGGAGGCCCTGAGGGCCTGGGAGGAGCTGGGAAGGGGCATCCCATCCGAGTCTCACCCCCCAGTTTGGCCCCCTTCCCAGCAGAGCTTGAGGAATACTGGGCATGCTTTCTGGCTCTGTTTAAGAGCTCCAGGGAGTCCTCTGGCTGTCTGCATTCTCCGTGGGGTGACAAAAAGGGAATCATCTATCAGATATGTATGTGATACCTTGGAGACCCCATTATCCACCCTGGTGGAAACCTACTCATGTGCATATCTGGACCCTGGTGAGGACAAACGACTCAAATAAAGAAAATGAGTTTTTTGTCAGCCCCGACAATGGGACCCAGGCCATGATTGGCCGAGAGGGTCCAGATCGATGGAATGATTGTCAATCACCCAACAAGTGCATCAAAATTTGGGCCAAAAAGCATAAAACTAACAAGAAGCCTGAAGTACACTACATTTCAATGGGACAGAAACGAATGAGGGGAAACATGGTAATTCCTCTGAACCTCAGTTTCCTCTTTTGCAAAATGGAGATGACTTGTACTACCTACACTTAGTTGCTAGAGTGTTTTGAAAATAAAATTGATATTCATCAATTAGTAAGCATAAACACTATGTTAGCCAGCTCTAGTGCATGATATTAATGTTGATGATTCTAAATGATCCACATGTGTACATCCTAAACCTCCAACAACAGACAAGAAGTGTTACTGAGAATAACCCTAAGGCTCCAAGAGGTTTGGATACTATCCCCTCACCATTAAAATCCAGTCCTATTACAGAATCCAACATGGTGTATACCAGGAGCTACAATGAAGAGCTGATTTGTGTTTCAATGACTGCCCAATACCTATTTTTGCTCTTACCCAGCATCGCAGCAAGTGCTTGATAAAATAATACAAGGCCTGCCTGGAGCAAATTCTACTGTCTTGATTCTAACCCTACCCCTCTCCCCCAATATATATAAAAATAAAAAGACTAACTCAACTTGGATTCTCATAGCCCTAGACCGAGTCTGCCCCTCTCCATTTAGAAATGAGGAAATGGGGGCTCCAAGGCCTTCAGTGACTGCCTAAGGCCTCACATGCAGTAAGGGGCAAAGCAGGGCCTGAAGCCAGGCCCTTGATGGGAAGCCCAGAAGACTTGTCCTCTGCACCTGGAGGTCGCGGTCCCATGAGGAAGCAGTGAAAGCAAGGACACTAAGCCCCTTCCAAACAACGTAAGCAATGTGCCTGTGAACATACCAATCTAAGGTACTCTAACTACAAAGACAGGTCAAACTACTGAACAGGACACTGGAGTGTGAAGCTATTTTCCTAATCCCTACCTACCCCGGCAGGGGCCCTCAACCTTGCCACCTCCCCAGCTCTCAGCCACGGGGCTCCCCCTGCTCACTCTCCCCTAATTCTGAATCTCATCTCCCACGTCTGGCCCCAAAACAGCCCATTACCAGATGGTGAGACAAAAACCTCAATCAGCCCTCCTCCCCTCAGGAACTTCACAGGGCTGGCCTTCTGGTGCAATGGGAATGCACAGAAAGACAGGGGGGCCTGAAAAGCTGCCCCATCGCACCCCAGCCCAGCCATCCTCCTCAAATCCCTCTGCTTCTGCTGATGAAGCCTTTCCTTGACCACTCAATCCAGCCCACAGATGACACGCCCTCTGGCCCAGGTCACGCACTGTGCGTCACTTCAGCTGGACGAGGAGCTCTTTGCAGGCAGGGCCCCCATTCCATCTTAAACGTCTCTGTCTACCCCCAGGGTGCAGAAAATCAGGCTGATAATGTTGGCTGACATTCCACCTTGCGAGTGGAGGTGCAAGATGACTGCCTGTGGGTCAGGGCCTTGGCTGAAATCCTGGACCTACTACCTGCTACCTCTGACCTTTTCCTCTATGAAATGAGAGGGCAGGTCTATAGGATCCCTAGCAGCAGCTACCTCCAAGGTAAGAGAACGAGAAAGGCGCCTAACTGAGAACCAATAACCTTCCACATCAATACACAGTACCGGTTGTGAGGCATCTCCACGGGCCTCGACACCAGCTGGCAGGGACCAAAGGAATCATCTCGGCCGCCTCTTACATAAGTCCTAACTGCCTTCTGCTCGGCTGGACAGTGGCTTGTGCTGGCACTCAGACCGCTCTCATGCTTACAGCTCCCTCCCTTCACACCACAAAGGTAAGGAAGACTGGCCGGTCTTGGAAACGGAGATGGCCGCCTGCCTCCCTTCTCCTTCAGCTTTTACTGCAGTTTCCTTTCTTCCAAGGGAAATCCTCGGTGCATCAGCGTTTGAGCAAACACACTTGAGGGCAAATGCTTCTCTATTTAAAAAATAATCTAATGACAGACCTCCTCATTTAGCTGCCCAGGGAGCTCCCGTCTCCTGCCTTCCAGACCAACCATCTCTCCAGCCTGGCCTGAAGCAGCCCTGAGCTCAGTCCAGCTGCAGCCTTATCAGAGCCCTGGCCAGCTCTCTGAGTCCATGCTCCCAATGGCATCTCCGCAGCTCTTCCAGTGGGTTGGCCTTACCTCTCCTGGCTGTGTGCACTTGTGATTCCAAACACCAAATGTTAACAGGGTGGGGCACAGCTCCTTCCAAGGAGAGCCAGAAGGTGAGGTCCCATCCTTGGGCCCTGTCTCCTCAGCCTCGCACCCAAGAGGAAGGCCAGTGGCGATCACAGGATCGCAAAGTGAGAGGTGTCTGGTCCAACCCCCTCATTTTATGGATGAAGAAGCTGAGGCCCAGAGATGGGTACTGACTTCAGAGGGCGCCACAGTGCACAGCACCAAGAGTCAGGAGGACCTGAGTTCAAAGCTAGGCGACCCTGGGTGAGTCCTTTAATCTGCCTGCCTCAGTTTACTTATCTGTCAAGTGGGAGGAATAGCAGCACCTACATCTCCAGGGTGGCTGTGAGGCTCACACACTTGTAAAGCATCTCGCAGACCTTAAGTTGCCATGTAAATGCCAGCTGTGACCAGCGAGTTCTTGGCATATGTGGTGACGCGAATCAAAGCTCTTTCTGCTAACCCGTGGCTAGATCTGTCCCGAACTCTCAGCACCCCAACCTCCAAGAAAAGGGCAACTGGTTTTTATGAGGGAAGCAGGACCGAAGTGTTACAGGCGTGGGGTTGTGGTAAGTCTTGTTTTATTTGACTGGAGACAGAACACTACCAAGTCCCATCACATACAGCATCAGCTCACACGCCTGAACACTGGGTTCATTTTCAGAAGAGCCCAGATTATTCTGCAGTTCATTAGCATCATAATCATAATGTCTCCATTCATCAAACGTACCTGTAAGGGTTTATCATCTCCTCTGTGACAAAATTCAAATAATTCCTGAAATTTAAAAGACAGAGTTTAAATATTTCCCCTCACCGGGGTCTTCAGAAAACTGACAATGAAATCAACAGAGATGGGAGAATAGGCCAGAAGTAGCTGCCAAAGAAGATCTCCCTCCCACCACCCCTGGGGCTCAGATCTGGTAAGAAAATGGGCTCCAGGGCCTCAAGGGCTGAGGATAAATCCTCTGGACATGACTCGGTTCCAATGGAGGGCCGTCCTGGCTCCAAGGGCTCCCAACATGACACAGAGCTTTCCAGACCCGAGGAATAGATACCTTGGGGTGGGTTCACAGTCCACAAGCTAAGCCTCACCTGCTTCAAAGTTAGGCAATGGCCACCCAGATCAGGAGAGACTCTTAGGGCAGGGTCCCAGGTTATTTCCCATCAAACAGAAACCTAAGTGCTCCAAGAACTCCTAAGGCTATAGTGAATGAGGTAGTAGGCAATGTCACCTCCTCGTAGGGTCCTAAGAAACCTTCTCCTAAGAGGTTCACCCTTCAACCTCTGAACCCACAAGAGCACGGGCCTGGACCTGTGATCCAGTGCTTGGCACGGCACCAGGCGCACAGTAGTGCCCAGCTGCTCTCCACCGCCTGACCAGAGTCCTCAAGGGTCAGTCACCTGGCAGACAGTCCTGGTGACATTCCAGTTAGCCACAAGAGTTCTCTATTCTCTTACTACTGAACTGAACTCTCAATTATCCAGCCTGCTGGAGGGAGAAGCAGCGACGGGGCGCCACAGTGCTCAGAGCACCAGGCCTGGAGTCAAACTCATCTTCCTGAGTTCAAATCCAGCCTCAGACACTTTACTGGCTGCGTGACCCTGAGCAAGTCACTTTACCTTCTTTGACTCAGTTGCTTCATCTGTAAAATGTGCTGGAGAAGGAAACGGCAAACCACTCCAGTATCCTTGCCAAGAAAATCTCAAATGAGGTCACAGAGAATCAAACATGACTACAACTTGAACTGGAGGGAGGGGGAAGTGTTTACACGTTCATATCTTTGGAATGTAGACTTTAATGTGGGCATGTCTGATGTAAAAGAGAGGGCACATCAGAAAAAAATGGAGTCCCTCCAGTCTCCTCAATCTATTCCTCTGTTCCTTGGTATCCAAGCCGGAGGCAGTATTACCATCCATGTGATACAGTTGCTTCACTGTCCCCCTAAACTGCCCTGTCTCTGTAAACTTTGATAGATTAATTAAGTAATGGTTCATAACTTTGGGATGGTATCAAAATATTTGAGTTGAAGAGGCTTCTTATTAGGTGGCAGAAATAAAGGAGAAATTATCGGTAAACAAGGATGCCCAGGGACTCCCATCACAATGATCTCTCAGTGACTGTGGAAGCAGCAAATGGAAAGTGAAGTGTGCAGGGGAACATGGCTGAGCTGCACAGCCCAGGACTGCCTACGAGGCCAGCCATGACCTACTCCATTTTGCTCTAATCAGTTTTTTTCCTGAATCGATGGATACTTGGAAGGTGTGTTTCCACAAGAGCCCCAGGCTCCCAGATCTGCTGCCATCCAGGCAAGCAGGTGTTCCTTGTTGACCAAGTATTCTTGCATCCTGTAGCCTCTTAAAAACCTATGTGTTCTCACTTCACTGCCCAACCTGATCCAGAATTCAGGTGACTATGGGCATGAGGGGCAGCTCAGAGATTGTCTGACTTGTGCCCCAGTATAACACCTGCTGTTCCTATCGGACAGAAGGAAAGGACATCAAAAAGTGGCCCAATGATCACAGAGTGATCACCTCCAAGGGTGGCCAAATGGTCACAGGACACGGTTAACTGAGCTACAACCTACATGAAGACACTCCAGCATCTTACCAGCCACCGTAGGCGAAGAGGCCGCTGTATAACGCCAACACTATGTTCCCAACATCTAAATTGGTGCCTTCGAATGATAACTGGGGGCTCAAATTGGAGACCTCTCCTGCAAAATGAAACAAAATGAAGGAAAGGGTACAAAGTTATCAGAACATCCTCCAAGGGCATGGTACCAAGCTCAAGGAGGTTTGTCAATTTAAGCTGGGACCAGCAAAGGTTAGAAATTCAGATGGGAATAGGTTGATCAGCTTACTCTTATTAACAGACATTTTTATCTATTTTGTTAAACATTTCCCTATTACATATAAAATAATTTTTAACATTCATTTTTAAAATTCTGAGTTCTAAATTCTCTCCCTCCCTCCTAAGAAGACAAGCAATAGACATCAAATATATATATGAAGTCATGTAAAATCCATCAGCCAGTCATTCGAAGCACAAGTCCCTGGCTACCGTATTACTACTGACGCACAACAGCACTGAAGGCTAGCTAGAGTAATACACATTCCTTCGACTCGCTTGTTTCAAGGTGGTTGTGCTATGAAAGCGCCACAGGACCCAGAGTGGGAGGGACAGAAGAGGTCACCCAAGCCCTAAGTCTCCATTTACAGATGAGGAGGGAAGTGAGCGCCAAGGTCACGCACGGAAGCCAGAGGCTGCTTTGCAAGCAGCAAAGCGAGGACTGGAATCCAGGTTCTCTAAGCCCAGAGCTCCTTCTCCTCTGGTTTCATCTCATTCTCATAAGAGCTCAGTGAATAATCCCATTCTACAAACAAGGAAATGGAGTCACTTTGACTTGCCAAAGGCAAAAGCCAGTAAGTGATATTTCCTCTGGATTCTTTTTCAATGTCATCTTTATTCCCAACAGGAAGGTCAGACGGGTCCCACATTTAAGAGGCACCTAAATGGTGCAGTGGGTAGAATGGTGAACCATAGAGTCAGGAGGATCTGAGTTCAAATCTAGCCCCAGACACTTTCTAGCTATGTGACCCCTGGGCAAGACATAACCGCTGTCTGCCTCAATTTTCTCATCAGTAAAATGGGTATAATAATAGCACATATCTCCCAGGATGGTTATGAGGATAAAATGATAAAGTATTTGTAAAGTACTCTGCAAAGCTTAAAGTGTTATCTAAATACTATTTAAGACATGGGCTATCAAATAGTATCCACTGAACTGGTATCCCTGTCGGAGGCTATAAGCTACTTCCTGCCTGCTGGTGACCACACATGCACAGAAATCATGGAAAGGTAGAGCTGGAAGGGTCCTGACAGAATATGGCTTTAGAGTAGGCCACTTCAAGGCCTGTGCTTTTAACCCTCTAGGTGTTCCCTCTACAAACAGGGAGGGCATTGGTTCTATGGCAGACAGTCTCTATGAGCTGCTATGGTCCTGAACATTGACTGACCACCTTGCAGCCCATCCTTCCAGTCTGGTTTTATTAGCATAACCTTCAAGAGGGAATGTGGGAAGACAGCATGGAATCCATGCTGCCCCTTCCCTCTCTGAGCCTCAGTGTCCTCAGCTATAAAATGGGAGATGTGGACTAGACCTCTCAGTCCCTGTTAGTTTTAATTCCTACAAGCCTTTGAGGACCCTCAGGATCACCTCCACCTTCTGAAAAGGCAGAGGAGGACTTCAAACCACGGGACTTACCATCAGCACACAGGACAGAGTGCACAGGTTCAGAGAACTTAGGCTCAAATCCCAACCCTGACATCTATTTGACCCTGAGCCTTGGTCTTCTCACCTACAAAATGCACAGGCTGAGTGGGCCTACAAGGTAGATTACAGCTGTACCTCTATGGACCCGGGATTTTATTTATTTCAATGTTGCTTTAAAACATACTTGCCTTAAAATACATAATTGCACCATAAGAGCCAATAAAATGTGATGAATACAGAAATCGGGGAAAGACATGAGTGAACTGATGCAAAATGAAGTATGAAGAACCAGGAAAACAAAATACACAATGACAACAATGCAAATGGAAAGCACACAAGCACACAACACGCTGAATGCCATGTAAATAATTACAAGCTAAATAAAGCTAGACTCTCAAGTGGAGACCTAATAAAACGCCCCCCCTCCTTTTTGCTGAGATGGGAGTTCATGGGGGGAAAACCCTGCACATACACATTAGTGCTAGCTGACTTTGCTGAACTTCCCCTGCACTTTTCTATCCTTTGTTTCCAGTTTGATGGCTCTCTGCAGAAGTGAGAGAGATATTTGGAGATAAAAACAAGGTAAAAAGATGTCAACAAAAACCATAAATTTAGCCGTGAAGTCCAAGTGCTTTCTTCTCTAGAATCACATCATTCATTTTAATAAAAGAGCTTTATCACTTCTTGTGATGGGATCCCCATGGTGATTCCCTGGTGCAGGAACCTGCAGATGAGCCCACGCTCAAAGTCCCACAGACACAGCGGCCAGAACACCGAGAGGCTGAGGGATTTGCCCAGTATCCCACAACCAATACACGGCAGAGGAGGACACAGACCCCCCCCCCCCAGACTTCTAAGCCACTGACATGGCATGTGTGGATACCTGTAGGCCGCGTGGTGACTTAGTTTTAAAATGAAATCTTATCTGTGTTTTATTATATTTTATTTGCTTTGTTCAACACTTCCCACTGGATTACAGCGGGAGTAGCACGTGGCAGTTCTGTGGGTTGCACATTTGCTCCTCTGGGCATTCTCCTATGCTGATTCTCATGTTATTTCTTGTGCCCCTCCCCACAACAGACCATCACACTGACATGCTTTACTTCATTCAGCCATCCCCTAACAAGGCAGGGTCAAGACATGCTTGGCTATATTACACACAGAATCACCACCAGGTCTTGCATATGGATGGTGCCCCAAGGACAGCGACCAACATGTCGAAGGTGAAGATCAGGTGTAGAAAAAAACCTTCTTTGCCTTTTGGCCACAGGGGCCTTCAGCATGCACCCCAGGCTTTGACTGTAACTGAAGCTGTTTCCTGTTGTAAAGCAAACCATGAGGGCCTCCAGTGCACTCTTCCTGCCACGATTCAGGACCCGCAGTCCACGGCCAGGAAACAACAGCTGTGCACAGTCAAGAGGATCTGGGGAGTGGATGCTTTAATTAGGAGACCACCTGTGGCCATTCTGGGGCTGGCGCCTCACAGGAGGAGGCAGTGGGCAGGGGACCCTCTGGCCAGTTAAGGGAGCCCACAAGCAGAAGGCTCGGGCTGAGCCATGCTGACCAGCTCAAAGCTAACGGCTGAGGACCTCTTGCTGCTCCCTGTCTTCTAGGGGCCACCTGACATGGCTGCAATGGACGGGGGCCAGAGAGAAGACCCAAAAGAATGCTGCAGAAACAAAGCTAGACCTGAGGCCCCCAAATGCCTGGCTGTTAAGAACAACAACCATAGCTATGTTTGCAAAGTGCTTTATAAATATAATTTCATCTCCACATCAACCCTCGGAGGTTGGTTCTACTATTATCCCCATTTTACAGATGAGGAAACTAAGGCAAATAGAAGTGAAGTGACTTGCCTATCACACAGCTAGTAAGTGTTGGGGGCACTATTTGAATTTGTATCAGGTCTTCCTGTTTCCAGGCCCAGAACTCTATCCACTGCAACACCCGGCTTCCATGGTTTCACCACGGACCTAGTGTTAACAACTAGGAGTGGGCCCCACAGTAGTCTGCTACTTGGGGCTCTCTCTGGGTGGTTCCTCAGGAATGAAGCTGCCCCCTTCCCCAAGTAAAAGGACACATTTATCTCTCATCCCTTCTTATAACAAAAGCAAACTACTCACCGGCCAGGGAATTCAACAACAAGTATTCTTCCTTTATTCGATCAACAAAAAATACACTAGAGAGAAGAGGGGTGCCATCGGCCACACTGCCTGCACAAAGCCCCTGCGCCTCAAGCGCTGTGGAGCTGTAGACAAATGACTTATTCTCAGTAGACAGAGGAGAAGAGAGGAGAGATCAGTCAAGAAGAGGGGCACAACTATAGCAGAATGAACAGTGCATTCTGAGTCACATGATCTGCCTTTTCTTGGGACCCAAAGAGAGAGCAGGAGTGGGCACAACAATAACATATAAGACGTGTTTAGATGAACACCTGCCCCATGTAACACCGAAGGTCCTGTGGGTGCTAAGGGTCTGTAAGATTCTGCGATTCATCCTACTTCCAGACTAGGTGGGCTTACCACACTGCTTAGACTGCTCTGAATCAGGGCATGGCTGCCGTGGAAGCCGGCTGGCGCATCGGCCCTCCAGGCCCCACTGAGGGGTGAGCAAGGGGGTCAGCCTGGATCCAAAGGTGAACACAAGGTTCAGCTTCCTGTTCACTGGAATTGTGTGTTCTTAAATTGGGAGTCACCATCCCCTCAGCATCTACAACAGAAAAAGCACTGGATCTGTAGTTACTCCCCAGCCTCATGACCACCGGCAGGGACAAATCCTCTGGGTCCCCTGGGGATGGGACTCTATGGCAGGTGGATCTTTTCCAGCTTTGACCTACGGTACTGAAAATCCTGGGGGCACGCTAGCTGTGTTCTGGAGGGATCCAGCAGGGATCATTGTTCTAGGGCTGGAAGGGGCCTCAAAAGGCCCTCTGGTCTAGGCTAGCACTCTCCTCACATAGGAGGGCAAAGGTTTCTTCAGGCCAGAGATTCCTGTTACTCAGGCACTGACCTAAGAGTAATAAGGAAGAGGCACTGATTCTGGTTGTGCTCCAGAGAACCAGGAATAAGGAAAAACAGCTTCTGACAATCTGAGTTATCCTAAAAAAAAACCTCCCACCCACCCACCCCCTTCTCTGTAAAGGTGAAAGGCTCTGGGCATTTGACTTTTCCCCAGGTGTTGGTGAACTTTACTGTACAGATTTTTCTTCCTCTTTTTCATTCTTTCTTATAAGGGATAGAGCTTTAGGAGGGGCAGGAGAGGGAGGTACTGGGAAAAAGAGATGATGCAAAAACTAAAGACGTGAATAATCTTTTTTCTTAATCAGAGCTAGCCTGGGGTAGTGGGTTCCTCCCCTCACTGGAGGTCTCCACACAAAGTCTGGACCGGATAACTCCCTGGTTGTGCTGGAAGTGCGGATCTGTCTATGGTCACAGACTGCA